TTTCATTCTGCACTCATCCTTCACTCATACTTGGTCTTATTATTTGGTAAAAATGTAATAATGCACATGTATTCTTAAAATAATTGTATAAGATTACATTTTTAATCCTTACTTTGTGTTGCAGCATGTCTCATAGTGGTGGCCTGCGGGACGTCCTTCGGCTGGATCGCTCCCACCCTGGTCAACCTGACGTCAGACGACAGCGAGATACCCATGACGTCAGCGGAGGCTTCTTGGATGATCGCCATCATAGAGGTGGGCAACCTCTTCTCACCCATCCCTGCTGGGCTACTGGCTGACAAGTTTGGCCGCAAACCCCTCGCGTTGTCCACCGGGCCCTTCTACATCATCTCCTGGCTGATCATCCTCAACTTCAAGAACCTCGCTGCTCTCTGCGTCGCCAGAATAGTCCAAGGTCTGGCAATCGGCATTGTGTTCACAGTGATACCAATGTACCTTGGGGAAATCGCCTCCCAACACATCCGAGGAGGCATCACCAGTCTTTTCCAGATAGCTTTCTACTTCGGGTTTCTTTACGAGTACTTCATTGGACCGTTCGTTTCTTTTGATGTCCTCGTCATCATCTCCATGCTCCTACCCATCGTTTTCATCGGCCTGTTCTTCCTCCAGCCGGAGTCCCCTCACTTCTACATCATGAAGGGGAGAGAAGACGAAGCAGAGAACTCTCTGATGTGGCTGAGAGGTACGACGAATGTGGAAGACGTCAAGGAAGAACTTGTGGATATGATTCAAACCGTGCAGAAGGAAATCAGCAATAAGGCGTCTATCGGGGACATCATAGCTACACCGGCTGACAGAAGAGCTCTGATGATCGTCCAGCTGGTCGGGGGTGTTAAGATGATGAGTGGTTTGGCTCCTATAGTTTCATACTCCACAGAGCTGTTCAGAAGAACAGGGTTCACACTGATTCCTCCGTATGTGTTAACAATCATCATGGGACTGGTGCTTTTCATCTCGGGCTTCTTCAGCACCGCTCTAACAGATCTGACTGGTAGAAGGCCTCTTCTTATTATTTCCACGATCGGATGCGCCTTCAGTCTCGGGTGCGTCAGTCTGTTCTTCTACTACTACGACCACAGCGATTACGACCTCTCCGAGTACACTTGGGTGAGTCCGGCCTGCATCATACTCTACAACCTATTCCTAGCCTTCGGACTGGACCCAGTCTCCATGACCTATCGCTCGGAGATGTTCCCAGCCAACACTAGAGCAGTAGCCTCTAGCATCAACACCATCGTCTTCACCATCGGCGCCTTCATCACTCTCAAGCTCTACCAAGTGGTGGCTGACAGCATAGGGGTCTACTTCATCTTCATGATCTTCTCGCTCACTTGTTTCGTAGGGTCAATATGGATGTACTTTTACGCGATCGAGACCAAGAACAAATCTCTTTCGCAGATCCAAAAAGAGTTGACCAGAGTTACGCAAACATGCTGATCCGAGTGTTAAGGCTATCGAGCTGTGTTAAAGTGTACAATCTTCTAAGTAAGATTTCATCTCATAAGGTCTGTGATGTTTTACCTGAGAAATTTCTTGATTATCTGTATTAAGACTCCTAGGGTATTAGTGATCAACTTTGTTTTCCGACAGTTGCCTAAGGAATTTGTTATTTTGCATTGTTTGTAACCACGCAAAATATATGATTTTCTGCACTCTTTCACTTAGCACTCACGTATTTTCTCTGAATAATTCTTAAATCAGCTTTTTACATTGTTATTGTTTTTATTGCATGTGTTGATTTTAATATTTGGTGGGAAGTAACAAAGTTAAAAACAACCTTAAAATATACATACTAAGTTTAAAATGCATTATTATTATTTCATGGTAACTGTAGGAAATGATGAGTTTAATTCTAGCACAAAGTATCTTTGCTTTGAGAATCTATTCCAAGGAATCAACTCCTGCTACAGTTAGATTAAAAGTGAGAGCAATGAGGTAGGTACTTTGGGTAATATTTACACACATAACTATTTTGTACCAACTGTTTTATACCAACGTGTTCAAATGGAATATGTGTCTACCTAAATGATATTTTAAAATCGAAGTAGTTCCCCTTAGCAAAGTATAACAATATAGCCCAGCTACATATTTTTACTGTTTATAAAACCATTTGTTCATATTTTTTCTGGTTGTTCAAAATAGAATGGAGAGTACTTTAAATGTATACGAGAGTAAATGAATTAAATACTGTAAACGATATACATTGTTCAAAGAAAGTTACTCTTCAAATGTACCCATTTGTTTTTGTATCATAACAAGATATATGTTCTTAAAGCCCGTGAGTCAAGAAGATCGATAGAACCTACTCGGTTTAAGTATCCCGTATACTAATATGTACTATATGAATACTTATTCCTACGGTAGGAGTGAGAATGGCCTTTTTAAATGAGTTAGAAAAGGTATAAACGAAAGCTTCTTCAACTAATTGCCGCGTAATTTAAAATGAAAAACACACAACTCCTTAATGTCTTATTACATTTAGTTGATTTTAAATGGTTCTGTATAAGCAAGATAAATATATGTTATATTTTATGTACATTATTGTAAATACTTTTAGATTTAATACGTTTTATTTAATACGATAGTTAAATAAAATTTGTGCTTTAAAATAAAATATTTGAAAGCTGTAAACACGTATTTTGACTTTTTTGCGATCATGGTTTTGTCAAAAATAAACCCCCTAGTGTTAGTACCAGTAGGTTACAACATATTTCATTTTACAACTGATGCCTAAATTGACGCGAGTTAAAGTTTTAACCTTGGAGGGGAAGCCAAAGCCAAGAAAAGAGTGTTGGTAGAAAATACAATTATGGGCTATGAAACAAAATGTGTATTTTGGCAAAGGCTACTTTATTATTTTGTCGGCCAAAATAAAAATGTTATCTGTTTTTAACATTTGAAGAAAGTTAAATTAAGGATTTAGTACTTTGCCATCTCAATGAAAGACGCAAATAAAGAGGTATGTATACATTTCGTTTAATAATTGACTATACACAGAATAGACTTCCCATGTAATAAAAAAAAAATGGACAATCTGTTGAGATGGTCTACCAACTAATGACAATATTCTGTGTCACAAATGATAAAAATCAATCAGCTGTTTGCTATGATACTGCATTGATTTTAATTATTGCCAGCTGCTGTACCCGTGCTTCGCAACGGGAAAATACTATACCACCATATCCAAACCCTTGTTATAAGTGGTTCAAATTTATAAACAAAAAACCACCAAATTTATACAAAACATTATAACTTACATTGCAATTGTCGTACTGTTTACATGAAAATATATCAATAACATTATTTTCATTACTTACGGCTATAGAATCTTTTTTATTGCCATAATCATTGACATAGTTTTAGAATAAATTATCTATTACAAAGTGACTAAATAAATCTACCACATAGTTGTGTAAAACATTTTATTTATTTGTTTGTGTCAGCTGTCTGAAATTGTGAATTAAGCATTTCGCAGTTTTGATTGTTTACATTGAAATGTCTACGCAAAGGTAAATATTGTAAATTATCTCATGTTTCCATGGAGACCAATTATTAATATTTACTTTTGAAAACCTCACATGACAACTTTGGACATCCAAGGGGCGTAGCATGAGAGGAACTCAGGGAAGTGAATAGGCCTATGGCATTCCTAGATATTTGGACCATCTTTGTGCTCAATTTTGGCTGTAACGGTTTAGTATTTTAGTCGTGACAGCTGTCCCAACGCTCACCTCCATACAGACAGACACCACCTCAATTTGTTAACAGTACTAGCTGTGCCCGCGGGCTTTGCCCCGTTTAACTTCATAAGTATTCGCATGGCTCAATCACATCCTGGTTGAAGTTCGTTCGCTGCGCTCACTCACCTTTAGGTTGGAGCTAGTTTGCTGCGCTCACTTGCCTTCAGGTTAACTCGTTCGCTACGCTAACTTGCCTCCAGGTTGCAAATTAGCTGTTTTCATAAATAAAAAATAATAATAGTGCTGCACCCTGTTGGTAATCCTTGTAACTTTAATGCTATTGAACATCATAGAACAGAACCATAGATAAAACATACTTGAGTTGGTTAGTCTATGACAGAACCAACTTGTTTAATTGAAACAGCTGTTAAGATTAATTAATTCCTTTTAAATATGAAAAATCATAAGGTTAACATGGGAAACTCCAGAGCCACTGGGGCGGAGCCTTAAAGCCCGATCAAAATAAAAACTACTTAGTTTTCCTATTTAATGCCCAAAGAATCGGTGTACCGAATTTCAGCCTCCTAGGTAAATGGGAAGTGGGAGAATTAGTGATGAGTGAGTGAGTCAGTCAGTGAGGGCTTTGCCTTTTATATATTTAGATAGATTTAACCCGATACACTATACCCTCTGGTAAGATGGCCCTAAACATCTATTTTCTTGGCTTCAAATTTTTACATTACATGGGAAGTCTATTCTGTGTATATCGCATATAGTGGTTTCAACTATTGTAAATATTGGCAGTTTGTTCAAATATGCAGTAACAATTGTCAAATGGATTCAATAAAAAAATACAGATTTTTATGTTTACATTACGATAAAGTTATATTTAACACCAAGACATAACACATAACAGTAGATTATGTTAAAGGCTCGTATTTTTCGTTATTCTAACCCCGTTTCTTAGCACATCGATGTATACAGCTAGACATCTTTGGTATACATCATCGCATATATACATTTATATGTGACATATACGCATATATACATCACGTATACATCATTGTCTAAGCATGGACAGAGCAATGGTTTACAGTTGAGGTTTCTTTTCTTCAAACAAGAATTAGTTAGTTTGTTGAGACTGTGTATGTTTAATTCGACCTTGAACCTTGTTATCTAAATACAATCAATTCATTTAACATTCACTTTCGTTATCAACTGCAGAGAACTGCCATAACATATTATATTGCATAATTTTCATCTTCCTATTTACATTAGGTGATGTAATATTGACGAAACTTCTATGGTTACTCAGCCGGATATAACGTAATAATATTATGGAATTAGACAATAGTCTACAACTAGTTTTTTGTGTTGTGCCTGTTAGAAGAAGAAGATATCTGGCTTTACGTATATTATAGTTCAGGTATGGTTTAGTTTATTATATGGTAAGCAAGTAAAAACATAATTGTTTACATACATTTCTTTCTTCTGCACAACGTGTTTAGCTAATAAATAAGAGTTTCATGTTTTAGTAAACGTTTTATTATACAATTTGCATAGGGTAACATTTGTTTAATACAACTACCGGATCCCATCTCTGTAAAAATTACGGTTCAAAAGTTATTGTAAATTATGTTATTTCCCCATAAAAACCCCATAAAATAACGGAAAATCATATTTTCCCAATATTGGCTCGAACGGTTTTGATAAAAATTTAGTATGTTATAGTCCTTTAAATTCTGAAGAAAATCTTACAAATCCCATTTCCGTATATTTACTCTCACCGCTTACACATGATAAAGGTTGTTGACAAACTTATGGGAGAAAGTATGTGTCAGAATGCTGATACCGTTTATTTTTTCTTTATGTTATTTAGTAAAGGTTATACAGCATAATGTTTTACATATAAGACAAAACTTTCCTTTTACCTTTTTCACCAAGTATGTGACATATATGCAACATAATTTTAATATAAAGCAACAGACATTTAACTATTCATCTTTATAAATCAGACAAGAACAGGAATCGGTTTTAGTTGGTACGTGAACCAAACAGCTAAGATCTCTGAACTAAAGTTATAATTGTAACACAAATACATTGTTAACTGTGTTTAAAATTTTTTCCTACTGTTATTGCTTTAATCGAAAATATAAAGCCAGTTTACACATTTGCACACTTACAAATGCACGTTTTAATGTGCAATACGTGAGGATGGGTAATAAACAAAAGCGCAAAAAGTTTGTATAAAGCCTACTACATATTTAGCTAGGTATATGTGGATAGTTGAATGGTCCTATAGATTTGTTTTAGAGTGGAATTTATTTTATTATAGTTTATTTATAGTTTATTTATGGGTAATAAACAAAAGCGCAAAAAGTTTGTATACAGCCTACTAAAACATATTTAGCTAGTTATATGTGGATAGTTGAATAGGTGGAAATAATTTTTTTTTAGAGTGGAATTTATTCTATTTTTTTATTGTTCAGAAAAAAGTAAGAATCGATGGGTAGACTTCCGATCTGTTGGCACAAACAACCGAATGAAAATATCGATTATTCGATTGTTTCATTCGATATATTGTTTGGTTAGTTAGGTTAGGTTAACCTTACCTAACTAACCAAACGATATATCGATTGATATTTTCATTCGGTTGTTTGTGCCAACAGATACGGAAGTCTACCCGAATCGACAAGGGTTGCTAAGGACTAAACATGTCCAATACTAAAAATCTTTATAGTCTGTTACAAATTTGACTGTTGGAAAACTATTGTATTTCTTTTGTTTCAAATTTTGAAATTTTTTTGCTGGCCCACGTCATTGTATACAATAAAACAGGTACCGGTATTTGATGACAATGACAAATTGTTTATAAGTACTTGGTTACTTTCTTCAAAATTGAATACATTGGATGTGAAACAGTTATACAAAATGGTATATTTACTTACTTATAATGTGCAGAACAAACAGGTATACTATGGAAACAACTGGCTCTAAAGATGCAGTATCAGGTGTTGTAGTAATTACAGTTCAATAGTACAATTAAATAGTAATTAATTGTTAACATGGCTCAAATTATCGAACCATTTTAATGCGGTCTGTTCTATTATTACTATTCATTTAGATGTGGGTTTTTATAAGCATCATACATATCTCAACATATTTTGCCTTGATTCATAATAATCTATACATTTGTGTGTGACATTTATTAAATTTCGTGTTCACTTTGACAATAAAGAAGAATAATTTTAGAGCAAGCCCGTCGCTCGAAATTGAACATTATAAATGGTAATGTAAATAACTTAAAACAAAGAAACAGATTACTTTTCACTAAAACAACGAATTTTTGGTTAAATTAGGCTTCATTCGATTAAATTTTGTCATTGAGTAAATGTTATCAACAAATTAAACAATCTCTATAACTTTAACCTTTACCTCATTTAGGAAATGTGAGCTTTTATGCGACACTTAATATTAATGTACATATTGCTAAAAAATTATATGTTAACAAAAGTCTTAAATTTTGGAAACAATATTATTATAAATTTGGTCCAACTCACTTTATAAGGTTAAAGTAGCCATAAAACATCGAAACGGGTAATTAATTATAAGTTCGATAATACTTGGAACATACAATAAAGATGGTTTTAGTCCTGCTGATTAAAAAGGTTATGACTAAAGGTCAATGTAATATGTTCAGCACGTTTGATGAACTATAATGTTATTGAAGTTAAATAACTCGCTAATTTAGAATGGGGTTACCGATGTATTAAAATATTTGGGTGATTTTGGTTACACAAGTTACATCTATCACTTATTTCATCAATGCAATAAGAAATCGAAGTTCAAATTACCATTGTATTGGAAAATTGTAATTATTCTAATTAGGGTGGTCATTGCAGTAAAATATACAATTCAACATGATGATGAACACAAATATATTCAAATAGAGATTTAACATAATTTTCACAACACAACGATGTTTTTAGCCGTTTTGCAAACGTTAATGTCCAGGGCCAAAATGCCAGCTGTCGTCATTTGGGGGCCGAGCAGGGTTTTACGTCCCTAGGGCCAAAAATGTCACCGCTGCCTAGCAACTATTTATTACTAGCTGTTTGCCCGTTCTACGTACGGGAATCTTGTAGTAAGTTGAAACCTTATATTCAGAACAGGAGTTGGTTTGCATATTTAGTGTGCATTTTTCCAGATATGCTGTTAAAACTACTACTGTATAGGAATACATATAAACCTTCGCAAATACAATATCTGACAGTTTCAAAGCCAAAACGAATGCTTCGCAATTAAATGTCACCCGATCGTGTTAGGCCATATATTATATATAATGATAAAAGGACTTGCTTTATAGATATATGAGGCATAGCCCTAAGGTAGGCCTGTAATTGAAAGTTACTTGTCACACTGAAAATACCACCTCGACCTCACTACTGCACACTTTATTCGGGTTGAAATTTTCATTAACAAAGGTGATCTTGTCTTTTCCACGAAACACTGAGAAATAAAGACATTAATGCGTTACCAACAGACATACACACACAAATACAGAATTGAATTAAGGGATTTGCTACGCTTTAACCAAAGCAAAGTAGTCTACAAACAAAATAATTATTTGAAAGTTTTGATATTGTCATCAAATTTTATGATAATGGATTTTTCAAACTGTAAAATTGGTGTAAATCCTTTGGCAAATAAATAAATAAGTAAATAAATACACAGTCTACAAAACATTTATACGTTAACAACACCAAGCTTTAAAAAATGATGATGGTTTGCTAAAAAAATCTATCACTAATGTTGGATCATTTTCATAGGATAAACTAACATTTTGGAGTCCAGACAGAAAACGCAAAAATTATACGGTAAGACATCAATTAAATTTAATAAGGAATAAGGTGCAGCACTAACGATAACTATAGTTGTAAATAGTGATGTGTTTGTACGTAAAAATGATTCTTATTGCTACCACCGGTTCTAAGGAAAAGTAGCAGTACCATAAACCAACGTTTACATTTATGAAAAGAACTATAGTACTTAAGAACAATTCAAACTGTCAATGTAATCAACCTGTATTATTTGTGTTAATCCGTTGGCAAATATATAAATAAATAAATACACAGGCCACAAAACATGTAACATTTATGTTAACAACGTACAGTAAAGCTTTAAAAACTTCCTATGGTTTTCTCAAAAAAACTTTCACTTGATGTGGTGCAGTACCGTAGTTATTATAATCTCACTTGGTTTTATTTTTTTTTAAGTTATCGAAAATCAAAGTTATTTCCCATTAATAGCATTATTTGTAATTAACTTTTAATGTTAACATATTAACAGCAGACAGAAGACAGCACAGCACCAGCAGTTTGAAGAAACCACCTTTATCCAAACAAAGGTTTCTTATAAAATATTACGTAATCTCTAATCGATAATCGATACATATATCTAGCAAATATTCGGAGGAAATGTGACAGAAAACTCACAAATCTGGGGTTTTGGACGTTTGTAGTTTTACTTCCTAAGTAGAAAAAATGTACCGATATCGTTGTCGAAATGTAAGTAAGTAGAAACAAAAAATGACACTTTGGAAAAGCGAGTTAAGCTACATCTGTACGTTAAACCTCTGTTACGATCACAGTGAAATCAGAAAGTTCTTCCAAGATCGCAGCAACATCCACGATCACCCAATGCAGTTGTGATATTTTACTTTGCTCTTTACACAACTGTCATTGAAGGGCCATAAATGAGTGCGGAAAGCTTTTTGTAAGCATTGGTGACGACGATTTAAAAAATTTTAGTTTCCAGCACTAATACAACACTGATTCACGGTATTTTCCCCGGTTATAAAAACTCTGGAACACTCGTTGCACTTGCGATTAATTAAACAGGTTAAGTAAGGCACAACGTTTCTAATCTCACTTGGTTTGGATGTGCTAACAAAACTTGATCGGAAATGGTTGCGGTATTTGTAAACAACTTTTAATGTAAACATATCAGTGACAGCTAGAAGTGAGAACTAATCCAAACAGCTGATCGTTATTTCATTAAATGTAATAGGAAACATTGGGAGAAAATTTGACAAAAATCAAACAAAATTGGGTTTTTGATGGTTCGTTATTTTGTTTTCAATGAAGCGAAGCCATGTTTTTATAGCCCAAGACACTCTCACCAATCCAGTAAATACAGAAAAATGATTAGAACCTTGATCGGTACTCTAGTTTCCTAGGAGTAGGCCGCGTAAAATGACAATTTGGCGTTACAGACAGAGTCACAGAATGGACAGACAGATATACAGACAGAAATTGATATAAGACTCGTTTCGGCTTTCTTAGGCTATGAAACGTAAAAATAACCAAAAACTGCATGATTCTAAGCAATGTACAGACAAAACTGTAATTTTATTTATATAGATTTGTTTGCTGATTCCTATATTTCTTCACATAACCTTAAAGTTTTAGTTGTGTGTAATTTTTAGTTTGACTAATAGCATTGAGTATACAGAATACAGTATTCTTTATATAGTCAATTCTAATAGTGTGCATGTCCCTATTTTCTCAATTGTGTATAGTGTGGTGAAAAATGGCGATGTAACAAAACAAAGGCAAAATCAGCTGTACATTGACAAATTTACAACATTTCCCAACAAACCTTTCAGCAATTTAATCATTGTTCCATTCACACTTCCTCGCTGGAATTCAAATCACAACCGGTTTACCAACACTGAGCGCTCTATATGCAAGTGATCGCATAAATATTTTGTAAGCAGATTGTGCTTGTTGCTTGTTGAAGGAATGCACATCAACTCCACTTGGCCTTTGATCCGTCCTCGTAGCTTCTAGCTGACAATGCCAGTGTTCTGAGGATGTTTGGAGTCAACAGGTCGACAGCCAGACAGATAACCACAACATTGGCAGGTACTGTTACTGTATTAATACATTAATAGAATCATACATTCCATTCAAGGTAATAAAACGGTTTGATTGAATTTGCAGTAAATACAAAGTTTTTAGCATATAAGTTCGTGGTAGGGTTAGTTGCAGATGTATGGATATTTTTAGGTTGATTTTTGCATTTTACGTTCTCAAGGATCTCCGGTTACCTCTGTTTACTGAAAAGGGCTTTAAGACCTGTTACAAATAATTACAAAAGTGGTATAAATATTTTTAATTTTTTAGGGTGAAAAATAACAGTAACAAACACAAAAAAAACAGTGAAAATAACAGTGTATGCAATACATGAGAATCACAACGTCTGCTATGGATAAAACATACTCCCTTAGTAGATTTCTCATCCTTATGAATCAGCTGAAGAAAATGTTATTGTTAGTTCCATCCGGTGCACTGTAGAGGTTGTGTTTTGTTTAAAAATTGTTTTTTGTTATTTCAGTCATGTAAAACCTCTTTTAGCCAAATAAAACGATCTAATCATAAACAATAACTCGTCCCCTAGTTATATAGCCAACCAGTAAAGCATAAATCATTAAATTGACCCTAAAATAATAGAACAAAATGTCGTCGACACTAGCGATCAGTGTCAGCAACAATGAAAGACAAGAAAAACGAGCTTCATATTACAATGGGATGAGAAGTCTACTTGTAAGTGATGGTTAGTCTAAGCTTCTGTTTACATAAACAAAGGAAACTGCTGTTTTACTATTTTATTACAAACTAGCTGACCCGACAGACGTCGTTCTGTCCTAATGTGTTTTTATGTCAAATGCTCGTTCGCATGGCTCAATCACGTCCTGGTTAAAGTTCGTTCGCTATGCTCACTCACCTTTAGGTTGGAGCTCGTTCGCTGCGCTCACTTGCCTTCAGGTTAGCTCGTTTGCTACGCTAACTCGCCTCCAGGTTGAAGTTCGTTCGCTACGCTCACTCACCTTTTGGTTGCAAATTAGCTGTTGTCATAAATGTAAAAAAATAATAATAGTGCTGCACCCTGTTGGTAAACCTATTCACTTTTTGACCATCACATAATCAAATTGTTTAGTTGAACCAGCTGTTAAGATTCTTTAATTCCATTTAAATATGAGTACTCATAAGGTTAACATGGGAAACTCCAGAGCCACTGGGGCGGAGCCCTTTTGACGGATCTGCACCAAACTTCACACAAACCATTCTTGAATAATGCTTAATAATGCCTGAAAGTTTCATTACAATATGTCGAGCGGTTTCGGAGTTCATAAAGGACAAACAAAAACATACATTGGATTTTATATACACCGTGTCCCAAAAAGAACGGATCAAATATACAGCTTAATATACGTGTTATTGATGTTCGCAGGAAAGTCAAGTATAGCTTATTTTAAAGCTGACATCTTTAAGTTTTTTTTAGTATGATTCAACAAAAATCAGCTGTCCATTGTTGTGAGCTCGCTTGAATTTTCAAAACATAAACAAACCACACAGTTGCATTATGAATGTGCAGTTAAAAGCACAGCGTCTTGAGTGGTTCATTGAGACTAAATCAGTGGTTAAAGTAAATACCCCCGCCGCAGCAAATCTGCAGACTAAGCGAATTTCCATTTGCCTGATTGGATTTACCCTAAAATGTCTCCTTAAAAATATCATATTTATTTCATATTTAAATAGAATCAGTTTCACATACTTAGGTTTGCTGCAACAGGGAGGCTAAAAGTGTTTTTTTTTATGTAAAATGTTAATAGTTAGTAAGAAATAAAAACATTTTCCAAATTTGGGCAAAATATGTTAATAAACAAGCAAACTACAACAGTTTACTTTTTCTCCATAAGAATAACATGGGAATTTTAAATTAACAATTTTTTGGAATTTTCTCCGTAACCATTAGGCGCATTATAACGCTTCAATATACTAAATTATTTGTTTTTTTAAGCTCTACAAAATAGTTTGGAAAGAAATTCCAAAATGTTATGTTTTTTGGGTCAAAAATGGGAAAAACCCATTTTTACCCCATAAAAGCCCCCATAAACCCCCGTTCCCATGGTCCGATCATGCTGGTTCGCGACCTCGTTCGAATAAACGTAGGTTTACACGTTTGTACCAAATTTCATCAAAATCGGATCATTTTTGCTCGAGTTATCGCGCTAACGGACACATATATATATATATATATATATATAAATATATATATATATATATATATATAAATATATATATATGAATTTGAACGGATGGTGTTTTTGGCCTCTAGGGACCTCAAAACGAAAAAAAAAATCGGTCCCGGGTCCAGGTCTTGCCATGAGTACTACGGTAATAGCTTATTCCCTATATGGGAAATTCGCTAAAAGAAGATTTTGCACTGTATACAATGTAAATCCCCCATCCAGAAACAGTATGCAGCGATAGTAAAGACAGTTTAAGGATTCTGGAAACATCAGCCAGACGGATGAAACCTTCCCAGACAGTTGGATTGGTCGTGGCGGTCCCATACGGTGGCCTCCTGGATCTCCAGACATTACACCTTGTGATTTTTTTGTATGGGGATTTGTGAAAGATCAAGTGTATAACTTGCCGATCTCAAACTTAGATGAACTTAAAGCAAAGATAAGGGAAGCCTTTGGAAAATATCAAATGTAATGCGACACAATGTGTGGTCTGAGGTTGAACACCGCCTTGACTTTCTCCGAGCGAACAACGGAGAACATGTAGAGGTTAAGCGGTGAAATCATGTTAGGAAAAACTTAGAATGTTATGAAATAAAATGTATATAAAGTTAACTTTTTATCTTTAAGAATAAAGTGTTCATGTCAGTTTACTTTTGATTCATTCTTTTTGGGACACCCGGTATATAGATAGACTGCAAAACAACATTTGGATAAATGACATTGGCCAAAGACTGCACTCACTCATTGTTAATGATTTTCCCCAAGCAAAGCTCGGTCTCCAGTTACTGTTTACTAAACGTGATGCGTGCTGATCTGCAATATCATTGTGGTCCTTGAAAATAATGATATGATCTTATACTATTGATAGAAGTATATGTCATTCAAATCTTAAAGTTTTACATAGTCAATTAATGATTTTCTTATTGTAGTAGAGTTGAGTAAACGACAAAGTCATCTGATGTTAATTGCCTATTTATGTCAAACTAGTGTCCCTGTTGCTCGAATTCGAGCAATTGCTAAGTAAATATTTGTAGCAAACTGTTATAATACTATATTAGCAAACTTATTGACTGTTTATGATTAACCTATGCTCTTCTTCTCACTTTTGATTTCTGACAACAGCTGGAGTTTCATAACAATTTTTGTTTCCAATGTTAATCTTATGGAGAAATACGAAACTTTAAAGGGCTCCAGGGCCTCACTCTCTCATTATTTCCCTAAAAAAAAAGTTTCCTGCACAACTTCACGCTACGCTCTTTCCAATGACACCAAAAACATGACAATCGGTTCAGTAGTTTCGGAGGAGTAATTGTCACAAAAATCCTGCTTGCGTATTAAATAAGTACGAGAGGTCGTCCAGTGGTCGAAACTCGACCAAAAATATGTAATGTACTCACTTAACTATTTTCACCCCACACTGTAAATAAAACATGTGATTGGAGTTTCCTCCATTTGTTTAGATTTTCTGTTTATATTTCGTTGTTATTTCGTAACCAGCATAGCAACGCATAAGATCCATGTTAATTTTTTACAACTTTTAAACTTATTTTTTGTGCTTATCTTTGAGCCTATTTAAATTTATAAAGGGATTCTGCACACCTACAGGAAAATAGCTTTCCAACGGTATGCGTAGATTTTCCCTACGATGCACACGAGCTGAGAAAAAAGGTTTTAAAGAAACATGCTTGCCTATTAATATATAGATAGATAGATAGATATAGATATTTTAGCCAAGCTAAAGTGAAAAGACAACTTATTATACACTACAGCATCTGAAATTATACTTCTGCAATTAAATGCTTTGTTTAGCATATCGTTTGGGTTCTGTTTGCTTAATAGGCTACTTTGGTTTAAGTTTAAAATACCTATGTTCTAAATCCCTATACATAGTATTATAGAGTAAGCAACAGAAGAGGTTATGTTTTATCTATGATGGTATGTATATCGAGAAAGTATTGTTTTCGTCAAAACTCTCGAGTTTGAGTTTTGAGTGGATACATCCATTTTGGCCCCCCTGAACCCAAAAAGTGGTCTTCGAAGTGATGCCAGTCTGTTTGATTGGATGTGTACAGAGCTTCTGACCTGTGGTCCGATTTTGATGAAATTTTGTATGTAGGTACTAATCAATGGTATCTCCAAGTGTTTTTTTTTATTTTTTTGAAATTATGATTTTAAATTGCAATTTCCCCATAAAACCCATAAGATAATGGAATATAATATAATTTTCTCGAAAATGGCCCGAAAGATTTCGATAAAATAGTATGTTGTAGCCCTTTAAATTCTGAACAAAGTGGTAGAACTCCCATTCCTGTAAAGATTACGGTTCAAAAGTTATTTAAAATTATGTTATTTTCCCAAACCCCATTAAATATGAGAAAATTGGATTTTCCAAAAAAACTGTTTTGAAATTAGTTTTTGATGGTCCTTATAATTCTTAAAACATAGTACAGCCCTCCATTACTCTAAAAATTACTGTTCAGAAGTTATTGTAACTTATATTATTTTCTCACAAAGCCCATGAAAAAACGAGAAAAATAATTTTCGAAAATAAAATCGTTTCTGGTTGAAATTAGTCAGTTATGGTCATTTTGTGATTTTACCTATTAAATATCATAGTTACTCTCATCGCTTACCCATGATAAAGGGAGAAAGTATGTGTTAGTTGAAGGGCATAATATGTAATTTTGCGGGATTTTGAATGAAGTATTTGTATGATTAGTAGCGATAGATTGGTAATTACATGTAGAATCGTGTACTACTGGGTGTTTTTTTGTCTGTAAGCTGGTGTTTTCAGTCACCATCTTGGATTCGCCATATTGGATATTAATA